ATAGAGAGAAAATGAATGCCATTCCCTATGCTTTAGCCATAGGTTCTATCATGTATACAATGTTGTGTACCAGACCTGATGTGTGCCTTGCTATAAGCATAGCAGGGAGGTACCAAAGTAATCCCGGAGTGGAACACTGGACAGCGGTCAAGGACATCCTGAAATACCTGAAAAGGACTAAGGATATGTTTCTCGTTTATGGAGGTGAAAAAGAGCTCATCGTAAATGGTTACGTTGATGCAAGCTTTGACACTGATCCGGATGACTCAAGTCGCAAACCGGATACATATTTTTATTGAATGGAGGAGCTATCAGTTGGTGCAGTTCTAAGAAAAGCATCGTGGCGGGATCTACGTGTGAAGCGGAGTACATTGCTGCTTCGGAAGCAGCGAATGAAGGAGTTTGGATGAAGGAGTTCATATCCGATCTAGGAGTCATACCTAGTGCATCGGGTCCAATGAAAATCTTTTGTGACAATACTGGTGCAATTGCCTTGGCAAAGGAATCCAGATTTCACAAGAGAACCAAGCACATCAAGAGACACTTCAATTCCATCCGTCATCAAGTGTCGGAGGGGGACATAGAGATTTGCAAGATACACACGGAGCTGAATGTTGCAGACCCTTTGACTAAGCCTCTTCCACGAGCAAAACATGATCAGCACCAAAGCTCCATGGGTGTTAGAATCATTACTATGTAATCTAGATTATTGACTCTAGTGCAAGTGAGAGACTGAAGGAAATATGCCCTAGAGGCAATAATAAAGTTATTATTTATTTCCTTATTTCATGATAGATGTTTATTATTCATGCTAGAATTGTATTAACCGGAAACTTAGTACATGTGTGAATACATAGACAAAACATATTGTTCCTAGTGTGCGTCTACTTGAATAGCTCGTTAATCAAAGATGGTTATGTTCCCTAACCATAAACATGTGTTGTCATTTGATGAACGGGGTCACATCATTAGGAGAATGATGTGATGGACATGACCCATCCGTTAGATTAGCATTATGATCGTGACAGTTTCATTGCTACTGCTTTCTTCATGACTTATACAAGTTCCTCAGACTATGAGATTATGCAACTCCCGAATACCGGAGGAACACTTTGTGTGCTACCAAACGTCACAATGTAAATGGGTGATTATAAAGGTCCTCTACAGGTGTCTCCGAAGGTATTTGTTGGGTTGGCATAGATCGAGATTAGGATTTGTCACTCCGTGTTTTGAGAGGTATCTCTGGGCCCTCTCGGTAATACTCATCACTATAAGCCTTGCAAGCATTGTGACTAATGATTTAGTTGCGGGATGAAGTATTACGGAACGAGTAAAGAGACTTGCCGGTAACGATATTGAACTAGGTATTGAGATACCGACGATCGAATCTCGGGCAAGTAACATAACGATGACAAAGGGAACAACATATGTTGCTATGCGGTTCGACCGATAAAGATCTTCATAGAATATGTAGGAACCAATATGAGTATCCAGGTTCCGCTATTGGTTATTGATCGGAGACGAGTCTCGGTCATGTCTACATAGTTCTCGAACCCGTAGGGTCCGCACGCTTAACGTTCGATGATGATTGGTATTATGAGTTTATGTGATTTAATGTACCGAAGGTTGTTCAGAGTCCCGGATGAGATCACGGACATCATGAGGAGTCTCGAAATGGCCGAGACATAAAGATTGATATATTGGACGGCTATATTCGGACACCAGAAGTGTTCCGGAGAAGTTTTGGATAAAACCGGAGTACCGGGGGGTTAACTCAACACCCGGGGAGGGTCAATGGGCCTCATGGGCCAAGTGGTGGAAGAGAGGAGGCATGCCAAGGTGTGGCGCACGCCCCCCTAGCCCACACCGCCCCTAGCCCAAACCAAATTGGACTAGGGGGCTGGCCCCCCTTTCCTTCTCTCCTCCCCCTCCTTCCTTCTCCTCCTAGTTGGACTAGGAAAGGGGGAAACCTACTCCTACTTAGAGCAGGACTCCCCCCCTTGGGCACGCCCCTTGAGGCCAGCCGACCCCTTCCTCTCCTCCTTTATATATGGGGGAAGGTTGCACCCCGAGACACACAAGTTGATCTTTTAGCCGTGTGTGGTGCCCCCTTCCACAGTTACACACCTAGGTCATATTGTCGTAGTGCTTAGGCGAAGCCCTGCACCGGTAACTTCATCATCACCATCGCCATCCCGTCGTGCTGACGAAACTCTCCCTCAGCCTCAACTAGATCAAGAGTACGAGGGACGTCATCGAGCTGAACGTGTGCTGAATGCGAAGGTGTCGTACGTTCGGTGCTTGGATCGGTTGGATCGCGAAGACGTTCGACTACATCAACCGCGTTAACTAAACGCTTCCGTTTTCGGTCTACGAGGATACGTGGACACACTCTCCCCTCTTGTTGCTATGCATCACCTAGATAGATCTTGCGTGATCGTAGGATTTTTTTGAAATTACCGCGTTCCCCAACAAAAACTTTTGAAGCTATTTTGTACAAAACATTGCAAAGGCTTACGGGTCTAAACTGTGTTATCGAAGTTGGACTCATTACCTTAGGGATCAACACCATGAAAATATCATTTATACTCCACAGGCTCTCCCCTCCTCTGATAATGGGCATAACAACATAAGTCATCTCATCACCACAAATATCCCAGTGTCTCTGGTAGATGTGTGCTAGGAAGCCGTCAGGCCCCGATGCTTTTAGTAGGGAACATCGGGAAGAGAGCTTGCTTCACCTCGTCTTTTGTATATTGAGCGCATAAATTTACATTCATTGCGGGTGCTACCTTGCATGGGACATGCACCATTACCTCCTCAACCCCGGTCACCCCATCAGATATATACAAAGACTTATAAAATTCAAAAACCATAGCTTTTAATTCTGTTGGATCTTCTGTAAGGACCCCGAAAGAATTATACAAGGCTTCTATCATGTTTTCTTTCACCTCATACTAGCCCGCATGTGAAAAACTTGGTGTTTTTGTCGCCTTCTGAAAGCCACTGTAACCTGGATCGTTGTCGCCACATTATTTCCTCCTTATGGTATAACTCGACAAGTCGTTCATTGATCTTGATCTCAAGATGAACATGACCCATCCTTGTAGGGTCATCACGCAATTGTTGCAGCTGGAGAGTGAGCTGTTTTATTTCTTTCCGTACATTGCCAAAAGACTCCCTGCTCCACACGGTGAGATCCTTAGAAATTCGCAGTAGCTTGTCCCAGAAATCACCTACTCCATAGCCTGGTGAAACAATGCTCCACTTAGACGAAATAGATTCCTGCCAATCCTTGTGTGGTTCCCACATCACTTCGTACGCCAAGTCTCTCGCTCGACCAGTCCCTCGATCCTCGTCTTTAAACCTTAGAAGTTTGGCCCATGGTCTGAAGATGCCTCCGAGAGGTGACTCACGGTTGCCAGGGGAAAGCGTGACATCCAGGAGGGAGACGCCAGCGCTCGATCCAACCTGACACGCGTATAGGAGCCCCCCGTCACTTTTTTCTCCTATGTCCAAAAACAGCCTTGATAGCCTAAATCCATGAGCATGCAAACATTAACGACATCTCCGAAAGCTTGCATTTGAGCGTTGCTACGGTCCGCCACTCCTTGGTGATCGGCCCATTCGTGAGCTCTCGTAGGGCGAGAGCTGACTCTGTCTCGCATCAAGCGAGACATAGTCGCTACCTTATTTAGTGCGGTGCACATTGTTGTGTAGATTATATGGCCGGGTATGCACATTGTTGGTCGGATATGCATTATTGTATTGGTCATTTGGCCGGATATGCACATTGTTGATCATTTATAGTCATTTGACAATGTTTTATTTGTAGTATTTTCATGCCTGCAATGTGTTCTTGAAGTTGGAGAAGAAAAGATTCACCGTCATGCATTGTTGGTTGAAGTTGAATGGAGAATCCAAGTGAAATCAATTCATTGCCAAGACCGTCGCCCATGAAACCGAGAAACAAACCAATGGTCTAACCGACCCAACAAAAGAACCGCCCAAGAAGGTTAGAGGATGGTTTCGGTGAAAGAAGTGGGACGACGAGAAAGCAATGCGAGAAGGGGCGACGGCCAAGATGACGGAGAGCTTCAAGGACATCTTGGCGAAGGAGGCATACGTCAAGCGCTCTAACATCAAGGAGGAAAAAAAGGCCGAGAGGTTTAACATGTTGATGGCCGCGACCGAGAAGAAGCTGAAACTCGAAGATAGAAAGACCATGCTCGAAAAGAAGGAGATTAAGATCGTAGCTGCTTCGGAGGACGCGAAGATGTTGATCTTGAAGATGGAGGATGTAGTTGACGACGCCATGATGATCGTGCAAGCCATCTGTTTCAATATGTTGAAACGCAGAAGCATCAGTTGGAGGCGCCGGACAAGGAGAAGGCCAAGACGGCGGCGACGGCAGATTGAACGTGTAGGCTTGTATTGCCGGTCCAGCAGGGCGGAAAATCCAATTTTTTGCACGGAGTGCCGGATTGATATTTTTTTGTGATCGGGCATGTTAAAACTATAAATACTCTTTTTGATTGTGATCGGTGGCTAACATGATCCCACGCGCTATGATTTGAATTTCAAATTAGTTGTATGAGCAGACATTTATGAGATAGTTTTGGATGGCGGGCTTCTCATTGTGTCAGCGGCGATACGGTGTGTCCGGTTTGGAGTTCCTCAGTCGTGACACCCTCTCGTGAACCTGCAAACGTGACCGCATAGGCCGAGCTTGAATTCTTAAGATTGAACCTTGGAGAGCACATTAATGCCGAGCAAACCATTGTTTGCATTCCAATCCATGATTCCAACAAACCATAAGCACTTAACAAATACAATCTCACTCCCTAATAATACAGCAAAGAAGGGAAAATGGGACCCTTAAGAAAAGGGAAAAATTGAAGAACCCTAGCTAATCATCAGTAACCAAGCTTCAATCGCACAAGATGGAGTCGGAGAGGCCATAACCAGGCTCTCATAAAGGGCTCACGGCTGATTCACGTTCAGAGGTGGTCGCCGTTCATCAGCGCGGTGGCCGTGGCGCCGCAGGAGACGGCCTCCTTGGGCACCTTCCCGACGCGGTCGATGGCCTCGGCGAAGATGACCCCCATGCCCATGTGGAGGTGCGGCTCGATGTGGCAGTGGAACGCCCACACCCCCGGGTTGTCCGCCACGAACCGCAGCGCCGTCCACCCGTACGGGAAGATCACCGCCGTGTTCCGCAGCGGCGGGTTCACCAGGTTCAGCCTCGCCGCGTCGGCGGCGTCGCCCCTGTACGCGCCCTCGCCGTAACCCAGCACCCAGAAGTCGTGCCCGTGCAGGTGCCACGGGTGCACCTCGCTGACGTTGTGCTGCAGCGCGTTGGCGTTCTGGAGCACCACGTCCACCGTGGTGTTGTAGCGGAGCACGTACACGTTGTCCCCCGTCGTCGTGTTGGGGTTGTGCGGCGGCCGCGTCACGTCGTAGGCGCGCCCGAACGTATCCGCCGGCCGCGCGGCGGTCAGTGCCGTCTTGAGCCCCAGCTTCAGGGAGCCCAGGTACGGCGTCGCCGGGAGCACCATGGACACATTGTTGATGGACCACTTGATGTGCCCGTCCAGCTTGTTCTGCGTGTTGAGCAGCTCGATGCGGCGGTCCGACGTCGCCGGCGGCGGGGGCGTGCCGGCGCGGGCTTTGATATGGGTCGTGAACGCCTTGCTGTGCGCGGTGTCGTTCCACAACGGGGTGACCGGCGGCGCGATGGCCGGCAGCTTGAACCCGCGGTTGGGGCGGTAGTTGAGCAGGGCCAGTGCCGGCGCCGTCTTGGGCGTCCGGCCGCGCACGCCGATGCTGACCCAGTAGTTGGACGACGGGTCCTGGTCGGTGGTGAGCAGGACAGAGTAGCTGTCGCCGGAGTAGATGTCCATGTCGTCCACCACGAACGGCTCCACGTAGTTGCCGTCGGCCTCCACCACCGTCAGCTTGTGATTCTGAACAATAAAAAAAAACTCACTGGATTAAACAATGTCGCAAGCATCCGACATAGCTTTCAGGATTCTGCGCGCTGCACAGTTTATACTGTTTTATTATCGGGGAATCAATCTGTCTCGGATTTGCTTACCCCGATCGCGAGGTTGAGGGAAGCCAGGGACGTGGTGCTGGCGATCCGGAGCCTGTAGGTTTTGTTCGGCTCGACGGGGAGGATCACCGGTGCACAATGCCTGTTGCCGCCGGCGGTGCACTGCTTGGTGCCCGGCGTGTGCGCCGCCGCGAGCGAGCAGTTGAACTGCCCCCTACCGTTGATCAGCAACGACTGCACAACCACAAGGAAACACAGTGCGTGTCGTTAGTTCCAAAAATTCAGGCAGAATCTCCGTCATTCTCGACATGATGTGACATGAAAGTCTGCAAGAAGAAAAACAACATCTATCATGGCAGAGTGTCGCCCGAATTATTCAAATTATCATGATGCGCCATTGCCCATTACTAGTGAACACTCTCACTTATCTTTTGGTTGTGGTTGTGTTAAATCAACAGATCGATTTTCATACAGTGCAATGCAGTGGATGTAGCACTGACAAACCCCCAAAAAACCAATACACATCACTGTTCTTGTTGGATTGCCTTCCACAACACATGCACACATGTGCTTTGTGCGCACAAGAAAAAAAATGTACCACTGTCAGTGTGGGATGCACTCATGTTGGCTTGACCCTTTCCCTGACCACCCAATGGCCAAGCCAAAGCTCCCCACACAATAATGTAGGAGTGCCACCTAGGGTCACTGTACCCTCTGTAACTTTTTTCAAAAAAAAATACCACCCCATCACCTCTGCTCTGCATCATGCATCTCCCCAGGCAGGCAGATGTTTCCAAGATCAAGAGAGAAAAGGTCCTTGCATGGATGCTTTTTGGTGGCACATGACCACAAGTGTCCCCTCTGAAAATCATGTGGCCTTGTGACACCCCCCAACCTTGTCTTCAGAAAATTTGTAATGTGTGTGTGTGCATCCATGCCTGTGCTGTGCTGCATATGAACATGATCTGTTCTGACACTTTAGGCATTAGCACACATATAATACTGGTCTTGAGCCTACAAAGTGTCCTATACATGGTGTGTGTCTTCTTTTTTTTTTTGAAGTGGGAGTGCTTCTTTCTAGGAAGCCCAATAGGGTGGGTTCCATTTCTTTTGCCTTTCTCATCACCACAGTTGGCCCTGGAGGCATGTAAGCTTTCTGGTCCTGATGAGAAAGCTGAGTGTGTGCATCATCAGTTTATCACCATCAGCTGGGATCTTCGAGGCCATGCTTTGCTTAGCTTTAGTGACTGGCCTAGCAATCCAGGATTTTTATCCTAAATTGCTATTCAGCTCACAAGAGCAAGTATTTTCGTAACAAACTGATATTCAATTGTTGGTATGCTGCACCAACAATTGCATTTTGAAATTTTAAATTGCTCTGTCCGTGATCATCTAAATCGCCCAATTCACCAGTTAGCTGAAACTTTCTAGTGCACTTGCATTTTAAATTTCCAGAAGAGGACAAGCCAATTGCTCTGTCCAAGATCATCTAAATCGGATGGACGGGCTCCAAACTCCCAGTGCCATTTGTCTTTTTTGTGTTTTAAATTTTTTACTTGAAAGAGTGCATTTTGGACTGTCCTGACTGTAAATCCAACCAATCAAGATACCTTTTGTCCACCATGAAACTGCATCTTGCTGAAACATCATATACTACTCCTAGAGATATAGCAAGAACATCAGTGTGGTTTTAACGGTTACCTGGGGCTCGCCGATCCATCTCATGGGGCTGGAGGAGAGGCCAACCATCTGGTTGTAGATGCTATCGTGGTACCAGTCGCTGAGGAGCAGGTTCAGCTCGCCGTCATACTTGAACGGCTCCTCCTCCCCATCCGCCACATCCACAATCAGGGAGCCGTACAGCCCCGCTGCCCTCTGCATGCCGTAGTGGCCATGGTAGAAGTATGTCCCCGGCTGCAGCCATGAACCAACCATGGGTCAGTCACAACTCACAAGTCAAGCTAAAAAGAAGGGGGAAATGAGGAAGTTTTGCAGCAATTTTGGCACTAATGTTGCGATTAATTTCAGCTTTTCGGCACCAGCTATGATGTGTGCCACTAGGAGGTTTGATCGTTTGAACAGTGGAGGTACCTTGTCGACGACGAATCGATAAGTGAAGGTTTCCTCCGGGTTGATGGCGCACTGGGAGATGGCGGCCGTGCCATCCGCCCATGGCGTTCCAATCTGCCATGATTTTGTCCATGAAATGTTAGGAAAACATAAAGATCAGCAAAAGAACAAAATCTCCTAGCGACATGTAACGGGAAAGAGACAAAGCAATGACGGTGTGCTCATGCTGTGGTTAATTAATTACCTGTCTGACGCCGTGCCAGTGGATGACGACGCCCTCGGTGTGCAGCCCGTTCTTGAGCTCGACGACGATGGTGTCGCCGGCCTTGGCCCGGATGGTGGGGCCGGGGAACTGGCCGTTGATGCCGATGAGCACCTTCTCCTCGCAGTCCGGCGACCAGAACATGTGGCTCACCTCCCACTTGAGGTGCCTGGCCTTGGCCGCCTCCGCGCAATGCATCACGCCGGCGCACGCCAAGAGGAGGGCGCACCATGCAAAGAGAGCCCTCATGGCAGCAACGGGGAGGAAGAAAGGCTAGTAAGTGGAGGAAAGGTTCAAACAATTTCTTCCAAGGCAAAGCGGATGGGAAGAGACTCGACAGTCGACACTGAAGCCTGCTGAAGCCGGTGAGGGTGCGTGCTAGTTTTATACTGGCAAAAAGGCCCTCTCAAAAGCCACAACAAATGATGCTGTTTAATGAACTATTTTATTGCCATTATTCTCCTTGTTTTTTCTGATAGAAAAATATATAAATAAACTAAAAGTGGATCAGCTCAGTGGGGTTAGGTTGGGCTTGGGGACAGTGGCATGTTTGTGGAGGAGCACCTGCGGAAAATAGGCCGTTTCCTACAGGCTTGCAGCCTTGCCCAAGGGCTTGAAATGGCTTGACTTTCTTGATTTTCCACTGCATCTTTCTGGCCAGCGAATAAAGAAGGTTCATACTGGCATCATTTTGTGTTGCTTTTGCCAGTTCATATTACTAGAAATCTGGTCGCCTCTTTCTGTGTGTCTACACAAGTGGTTTTATGCAGTGGCCAGACAAAAGCGCGTCCACTGCTGCCTCACACCCTCCGATGGTTGTTCACATGCCTAAATGCATATGTTCTTGGTAGCTAGCGTGCATTTTTTGCAAAGGATTTTCTCCCCTTTCTTTTGCTTAAGCTGGTAGGAAAGATGCAGAGTTCATCCACATGGTTTTGTGTTTTGCAAAAAGGAACTATATAATAATATGTGTGCATAGCTTTAGAATTGTTAATGTGTACACCGACGATTATTTGCCTTTAGTCACTGTCCATGTGTTTGACACGGAGGATTATTTGCCCTTTTGAGTTCTCTCATTCGCACAGTACAAACCATCCTTCTGTCGACTACTTTTCTGGACACAATACCTGCTAAAAGATGTTAACTTCCTGTAACTTGTAACTATGTACGTGCAATCCAGGTCTTAACATTAGACAAGATATAAATTGCATGTTAATACTCCCTCCATTCCAGGTTTTAGGTAACATTAGACAACATATAAATTACACATTAATGTTAGGTATGATACAGTTACTTGGTTAACGCAGACATTTTTATTAGGCATGATATTAATTAGAGAAGGATGATAAACATGTTTCGTGATAAATGTGCTTAGTGCTAAAGAATGGGCAAGATTTGTTGGATATCCACAACTCGCTCTTTTAATATTAGTATATAGATATAGATGTGGAAGCATATCTATAAATATAGATATCTGTATGGATGTAGATATAGATATATAAATAAAGATATGTAAGTATAGATATAGATATAGAAGTATAGATGACTGGGAATGACGTCCTTTTACACATTAAATATAAAGATTTGCATACATATTGATTGGTATTCTAAATAGAAAATATGAAGGTGTCACATTGCTGAATAACTAGAAAAGGCGTAGCTTGGTCGACAACACAAACTTGCACCGGATAGATAGCCCTCACAACATCAATTGTTCTTCAATCTTAATTCATGGTGCTCTGTTTCTGAAGCTCAAATCATTTTTTCTTCATGCGCAATGTAAACATAGTATTCTGTTGCTTTACCTCAAGTGAAAACCATCATTATGATCTTGCTCATAATCACTGCCGGCGTTCGGGGTAAATTACGATCCAAACAAAAGCAAAGGATCTCAGTTGCAAAAAGTGCAAATCCGCATGGCATGATAACGATGGCAGGGACCCCCCTTTTGTCTGGCTTTGACCATATTTTGTCACGGAATCAAGTAGAATGCACGCAAGGCATCGCCAGTTTTCTTCACCTACTGAATGAGCAGTATTATTTCTTCATTCGCTTCACACTTTGAGGATTGTTGATGAATCCAATAATGAGGACTAGGTGATAGCCCAGTGATGGAAGCGTGGGTTAAACAACACTCAGTGGAGGCGCAATTTAGACAGTGGCTAGATTTCGTGGGATCGATTTCCAGAGCCTCTCGTTCTCGTTTTTAAAAAAACACAGGTTTCTCAAATATTGCTCACGTGAGAATTATTATTTTTATGTAACCATGCGTATCATTAATCACAAATAAGAAGAATACAAAGCATGCACGTGGAACCGATCAGAAGGGTAGAGAGAAAACATGTGTCCGCAGAAGTTTGCAGAAAACCACTCCAAAAAAAGAAGTCAAGTCCTTGGGTTTCGATCTTGGGCGGGCAGCGCAAGACTTATTTCTTTGGGCTAATAGATGTGCAAATGAAGATCACAAACAAATTCTGATTGACTTGGGAATCATGTTGTCCCGACTAGATGAAACATAGTTTTTTTTTTATGTTTTTACCTTCTCCCATCCTCACCCTCTGTAAATATTCTCTGTTAAACTTTAAAATTAATAAATGTGCCTAGGCTGGCTTTGCCTCTGTAGTACCCTCAATTTTTTTACAAAGGAATCCTTAGTTAATCCTGCAACTGCCATCGTCACCATTAACGATCGCTGGACTCGACGGAGAGCCATACACTATTAGGAAAAAGCCTAGCAGTAGCGCGGGTATTAGGTGTATCAGTAGCGCGGGCTCCCGCGCTACTGATACGGTGCTACAGCTAACTTGTAGCAGTAGCGCGTGTCTACCGCGCTACTGCTATACATGGATGGCAGTAGCAAGCTTTACAGGAACGCGCTACTGCTAATAGCTGCAGCGCTTTGAAGTAAGCCGCGCTACTGTAAGAGCACGCTGCTGCTAACTTTATTCCCCTCGCTATTGCTAGTTTTATTAGTTTCTGTTTTTTTGTATTTGAACAGACTTTATACAATAATCTCTAGCATATCATACACATACAAATGTAATCATAGCATACACATACAAATAGTCTCATCAAATTATGTCATCATAATCATCATCCAACACAACACTAGTAGAAAATGGGCCATTTGCCCCGGTTCTAGAGGCCCATTAGCCCCGGTTCTGGAACCGGGACTAAAGCCCAACACCTTTAGTCCCGGTTCTCTTACGAACTGGGACAGATGGTGCTCCACGTGTCCGCTGCGGCGAGCCCAGGCAGGAGGGCCTTTAGTCCCGGTTGGTAATACCAACCGGGACCAAATGGCATCCACGCGTCAGCAGCTCAGGAGCTGGGTTTTTGTTTTTTTGAGGGGGGGGGTGTTAGGGGTTTTTGGAGGGTTAATTTAGGGGTTTCATATATTGTGTTAGCTAGCTAATAGAGAGAAGTGACCTCTCTTATCTCCGTGCTTGGTCGACGCTAGCTACCATACGTATAGAGAGAACTCGACACACTAGCTAGTAAGCAAATGAAGGAACCATTAAGTACACAAGATCGTCATGAACATATAGAGAGAAGTGATTGACCTCTCTTTCTCCGCGAGATTGGTCGAACAACAAGTTCCGTATATCTGTTCGACACTAGTAGATACATATATACAATATAAGATCTCTTACAAAACCTAACATCTAAGGTCTATTTGAACTTCCACATGGTATTCCCCGTCTTTATTTATGACGTGGTTAAGAAAGAATCCCGCCAATTCCTCTTGAATTGCTCGTATGCGTTCATGTGGTAGGAGTTCACCCTGCATCTCCCACATCTAATTTAAAGAAGTCGGTCAATACATGTATATGAATGAAACTCAACACAAATGATGGTAATAAAATAAAATTGTGAATTTTTTTGTTTACGTACATTAAAATATTCTTTAGAGTAGCCCCGTTTATATTTCATCGAGTTGTAAATGAACTCGCAACGTAGTATCCACAAAAATCATTCCCGGCTTCCTGCCACAAGCACTTTACGAGAAATAGATTTCAATCAAACTGATAATCAAGCATGCTTAACGGTTTTGATGAAACTAGCTAAAATCAATGGGAGATGCGCGGAACTAGCTAGTAGTACTTACTTTCGGGTGTGTAAATCATAGCTCCTTCGACAGTGCCGGAACAAATGCGGTGAACTGTTTCCAAACCCTGCCAGACAAAGAGAATAATTACTTGATATCAGGAAATGAACAAAGTTGCCGATATGGTGCGATAATGATCAATTTAACTTACTTCTGGAGCATATCAGTCATGTTCGCATACTCCTGGGGACTTTTTATTGTCGAGTCTAAGACAGTTACTATTCCAGTTTCAAGCTTAATCTCTAGCAAAATAAAGTGAAAGCTGTGCATGCATGCATAACTCATTAATTACATTACTATAATTAACCTCAAGTAAGGGAAACCGAATATGCACAAGACAGTAACACTCACTTGAAGTTGTAAGGAAAGTGTATTTTACCTTTGTTTTGATTTTTAAGCAACAATTGTAGCATGTCCTCGGTCTCTTTGACATTGTGTTTGACCGTCCAATCATGTATGATATTTGGGTTAATGAATCCAATGTATATATATCTGCTTTTCTACATTCGACGATATTCAACGTGCATAATAGTGAGGATAATTATATATACATGCAATAAAAGAGCTGAGCTATATATAGAGACTTCATTACAGAAGTAGTACTTACAGACAGTAGCAAGTCACGAGTGTTTTGTCGAGGGCCTTTTGATTGTATAACTGGAATAATTCATCAAATTCAATATTCAAAATATCCATTCCAATGAGGTCGTGCTCCTCTTTAATTCTCATTGTCAAAGTATGCCTCCCAGACTGCCTGCATCTTTGCGTGTACCATTCATGGAGTCTTCGCATCATCGTTTTTAGACGAGGATGATCAGGTTTGACGAGAGGCTGCCCATACTCGTATCTGAATTCGTCCACCTCCATTATTTCAATGGGTACATCATCGGGCAGGTAATCACCAAGATTGGTACCAAGCACCATCCCCGGATGATTAGCGATGATATCGCTAGACACCTTGAGCGGGGGGCACGTTTGCTTTGCCTGTTCGCCGAGCTGGGGAATTTTTTTCCCACTTCTTCGTTCTGCTAACCTTGCATCAATGCAAGTACTTCCCGACCGCTCCGTTTCCTTATATGCCTTTTTAATAGGGCGCACATAGTTGGAATTCGGCGGAGGCGATGGTGGTTGCTTTAGGGCA